CAAACAAAACAAACAAGTTCCGTTGCCTGTAGTCCGCAAGCGAAATATACCGACCGAGCGAACGCCACTTGTCGGCGGAGTTAGTGCCAACTTTTGAGGATAGAGAGTGTCACGTGGTTAGCGCAACGGTTCCACGCGCCTTTAATCTCGGTTTTCTAGACCGGAACCCCTATTTCCTTGAAATAGCTCCTCAATTATCCTCATGAGGTTGATTCCCCTTTCCAGACCCAGTACTTCTTAGAAAATCTGGTAGCGCAGAGAATCGAACCCGGGATCTCTGGATCTCTAGCCAGGAATTCTGACCGCTAGACCACAGAGGCGGTCTAAAGTGTTCCTGTACAGCCAAGAAAAATCGCGATATGTTTTGCAGGCTGAAGATAATTTTCGTGAAGAGCCCACACTAAATCTTCTTGGCTTACTGCCTTACTGGCTTCCAGATCTGTAGGTGAATGCAGCTATATTCTTTAGAACTGGGCCAACTCCCTTAATAAAGGTCACGACTGACGATATAAAAGGAAAAACAGGTTAAGGTATTACCTCAGGAAATGACAGGAAAGGGCAATGTAACCTACAAAATTCCTGCCAGATCAGTCGCGATCCCAAAACCATATCTGAACTCGAGCACTTCCGAAATACGAGGCCCTTCTAATCAGTAAACTAAAATATTTATTCGGGTGGATCATAAAGAAGATAATCTCTGGTAAAGTGAATTCGAACGAACTGGATCAAGAGAGTGTACAGGCCAGTGTTATGTTAGCTGCACTGAAACTTCGGAATTACATACCAGACACTGGCTTAGTTGTTTATAGCCCAAGAATGATAAGCAGTTTATGATATTACATATCGAGGAACTAATTGTTTACACATGTTACCCATAGTGGTACGACAGCGAAATGGAAGGAACTACTATATAGAGTGGTCATGTGGGTAAGATGGGGTGGAGGGAGGGGTATGAATGCATACGAAATATTATTGAGAAAACCTCTTCGAAGACCTAGACAAAGGTGACTGGTTATAATTAAGATTTATCTTAACGAGTTTAGTTGTAAGGATTGGAATGAAAGTGGCTCAAGAACGTGTTCAATTACAGGATTTCGTATTGCCACTTCATTTAGTGTGACTATGGACAGGTTGTGGATTGGTAACTGGATTTATTGAACACTTATACACGCAACTTGTAACTAAAAGTAACTATAGAGCTGTCACTGATTCACATACTCTACAGTTCACTACAGCACGCGCCAAGTCTTTTCAGTTTTCTGTGTCCTCACCAGTCATTGTTCAGTAACGTCTTCTAACGGCGGACGTTTCCCTTACTTTGGGTTCCCGAACTATCCCCGTGCCTGAGTTGCCTGCTTCTAACAGCAACAGCTCACAACGCCTGAACTATATACAGTTCTCTGAATAATTCACTCACTCACCAACCAACTCGCTTCACTTTATTCAACTCAACTTAACTTGACACTCTCCACTCCACTCTACTCCCTATGTAGCCCCGGCACGGACCACACAGTAAACATAGCTATTCTATTTTTGTGTGCGGGTATGTTGCGGCCATTACCCAGCAAGGACCGCTGTTTACAGTAACATCAGTAACATTGAACTTTCTGGTTGTTACCTAAATGTTTATTGTGTCCTACGTACCTGTACTGGATCGTCCTCACGAGTTCCACTTGTGTAATAACTGCTTCAGAAGCATCCTTCGGCCCATATGTGGCATTATCCGTGACATTATGGACAGCCACGTTCTTGGGAATGTATACTGTGTGAGCCTGTAACATATACTGTGTTACACATACTTGAAACACTCGGGTTCTTGTTGAACCTCTCTGTGTCAGTGAACAGATTCAGAGAGGCAGGTTCTGCTAGGCCTGTCACAATCTGATCCGAGAGGTGATTAGAGACTAATATTCTGTTCCGTGTAGATCATAAACATGTTGCTTATCAATACTCAGCTTTTAGTATGTTGACGATGATCTCCGTGGTCTCGTAAGTGAACTATACCGACCGAGCGACCGCCGCATGTCGGCGAAATTAGTGCCAAATTTTGCGGTCAGGGGGTGTCGCGTGATCATACAACGGATCCCAATGGCAGTTAAACTCGGTTTTCGAGACCGGAGCCGCTATTTTTCCGTTCAAGTAGTTCCTCAATTATACTCACGAGGCTGAGTGGACCCAATTCCAGACCCACTACTTCTCAGAAAATCTGGTATCGCCAGGAATCCAACCCGGGGCCTCTGGATCTGTAGCCAGAAACTGTGACCACTAGACCACAAAAACTGTCCGATATTAAGAGGTAACATAATTTTATTAGACAATTTATATGAATTCCTCTTATTTTCTCATGAGCATGTTATGAAGGGCTGTGCAGAAAATAATATTAAGAAAAATATTTATAAATTACAAAATAGGTATCTAGAGCCTAATTCGTGAATGCATTATGAAACTTCGAATCCAAAAGGTAAGAGCAGCCCATTTAGAGGAAAAGAATCCGTAGGATAATATATGACGAAGCAGCAGATGCGAAGAGGAAATATCAAAATGCAGGAGTTTACTATTGCATAGATCTACTTTTCACCGATTATAGTGATCAAATTATGTGGGGTTAGAGGGGTGGGACATGCAGCAAGCGTGGGGAGATGAAATAATTATATACATATGACATGAACAGTACTATCTTCTGAGACAGAAAGCCTTGTAGTCCGCTGAAAGTCAACCGACGTTTTATAGAAACATATCGCCCCGTCTGGGCTCTTTTTGCCACCTGCTTACACATTGGTATTTTGTTTGGCTTATTCTTCGACCCTGAAGATGAATATGATATGTTCCTCCGAAACGTCAGTTGACTCTCAACAGATAACACGATGTTATGTCCCAGTACTCTTCACAATCACCGCTAAGAGAACCTCAAATCCTACATATAATACATTTGACCCAAAATACGAAGAGACCACTAGGAGATCTAGATATATATGGGAGGATAATATTAAAATGGATAGCAAGTGTGGTGGTTCCTTCAGACCAACATACTATGAAAAGCAACCTCCGTAGTCTAGGGGTAACGTTCCCACCTCATGACTCAAGGTACGCGGGTTCAAACCCGGCGGAGGTCGTGGAATTTTTAAGGGCACGTAAAAGATCCTTATGTCTCTAGGAGACCTCTGAGCAAAATTAGGCAAAGCTTCCCGCCCAAGTAGTTTCAAATGTCTCCGGTAGATGGGGAAGCATCGGGTACCACTGCCAGCCTCGCTGGCTGAACGAGGCTGATAGCGAGCACCAGTACCGGCAGGGTATGGCGACTGGTAGACTATCAAAGGGGGACGTACAATAAACTATTAGTCACGGTGCATGGGGAAACCCACCCCCTCTAATAATAATAATAAATAATAAAACATACTATGAAGGTAAACCTAAGGCTGTTCCTGTGCTTAATTAATTGAACACTATGCCATGAAGATATTTTAGCGTGTGGGGGTACAGCTCCACCATTCTTGACCTCGACACTAGGTGGAGTTGTCCACCGGTACCCACTGGGTAGGTCCCAGAGCCGGTCTGGTCGCTGTGGAGCAAAGAAAAATATCTTGCGCCTGCCGAGAATCGAATCCCGATCGTCAAGCTCGCAGTCCGTCGCTATACCGACTGAGCTATTCTAGCTCCCAACACAACACAACATAATATACAATTAATAAATTACATAAGTTTCGTTTTATTTCGGAAAACCGGAGTACTCGGTGAAAGCCTGCCCCAGTGCAAATTTTTCCACCACAAATTTCAAACCCCAAACTAAGATATTTTTAAATTATTTCACACGTATTTGTCATTTGTTTCTCGTTTAAACACTCAGACGATTTTCAAGTTATTTCAGTGTAACAAGAATTTGGAAATACTGTAAGTTAACATCACTTTGATTCAAGTTTTACTGAAAAAGACGGAATACATTTCGATATGTAAAACGACATACCATTGGGTAATTATATAAAAGCGACAGAATTAATCCACATGAAGCTGATTCTAAGTAGAGGAACAGGAAATGTCAGTTAGGGGAAAGCTCGACACTGTTGACGAACTTGCACCAATAGGCACGGTGAGCATAATAAAGTAAGGTCCTTGACAGAGGCGGTAAAAATGTTGAAGAAGCACATGACAAAGAAACATGTAACCTCCGGTTTCATTAGTATTGTCAACGAATTTCAAAATTGCACCCCATTTGTCACTATTTTGTACAATGCAAGCGAAAGCTTAAATCAGAAAATAGTAATTGCCTCTCGACACAACGTACACTTGTTTCTAGCTGCATTCAGACGTGTCTTTCAGCAACCAGGCCACAAACACGCCAAAGTTAGCAACAGTCAACAAAATAATGCCTAGGAAGAACTTTCCTTTCATCCCGTTGGTTCTCAGTTCTCCCACAATCACATACCTGTTGAAATGCAGCTTGGAAGAGGTTATCGGGGAAGATGTTTCTGTGAAAAGAAATATAGCCTTGATTTAATATGTGCCTCTGTTATCATCGGTTAAGCATTTAAAAGAGCAGTGGTTTTATATGTACCAACTCCTCTTAACATTAAACAACTCAGCATCTTTCTCACAAACTATATTTACGGGTTTCTTATGATTATTAGAATAAACCAGGGTTATTTCCTTAAACAATTTTAACCAACTGGGTTTCGTAATGGTGAAGCAGTGTGTGTGTGTGTAAGTTTTTCTGAAGTAAGAACTGTATTTTAAATATTATTCAGATGAATTTCAAGCTAGAAAGGATTATTCAGTGCTCATTCACTAACTGGTCCTCTCCTCAACACACACACGCCTCTATGCAACAGGTGTTACCGTTGTGAGATGATAACTCTCTCACACACACCCATAATGCAATGTACTCAACTATATTTCATACCACAAGATAGAACTCTCCAGAATTCCTAAAATTCACAATGAAAATGCAGCCCTGTCACCTATAGATTTAATTAGGGCGCTGACTTTGCATGGAATGCTCATATAATCACTGATATTTGAATTAATCCATCTGCTATTGAAATGATGGAATGTGATGGATAAGTAGAAGGAAAATAAATTGGTACAGAGCAGTAATTTGCTGCTGGTCTTCACCAGCACAGTCGTCCCTAGTTTCAGGCCTGGTCGAGACCCATGGCTATACAGAATGTCCCAGGAGGAAAGGACCAAACTTCGGGAGGGTGTTCCTTATGTTAAAGTATGCCGATATAACCCAAAACACCTATGTCCAAAGTCGAACGGTTACGGAGATAATGGCCCAAGGAAAGTGTGGTCTTCTAGCGGGTCCACGGATTATACCTATCAGCTAAGAGGCCTTATCTTTGTTTGTCCTTGAGTGCCGTGATTCACCCTAGCCGTGCTTATGTAGTTGGCTTTATCAGAACGCGCAGTCAGCACGTTATGTCAGCGCTTGCCATTCATGTGTCATGTATAGTGCTTGGAAACCCTAAGGACAATTATGACATGGCGGGCGAGTATTTTGTACTTAAAGTTTATGGCTTCATGTCACTCACAAGTTAGTTTGATGTTACGTACATTATTAACATTACAGAATCCACATATTCCTGCCAGTTTTAATATGTATTTTGTAATCAACAAGTGTGTAACGCCGGTCAAAATTTGACACTTCTCTGGCCATTATCTCCGTAACCGTTCAACTTTGGATATAGGTGTTTTGGGTTATATCGGCATACTTTAACATAAGGAACACCCTCCCGAAGTTTGGTCCATTCCTCCTGGGACACCTGTATATTTGCTTCTTCCGAGGGGCCTCTGACTACTACTGTCCAGAAATCGGAGAAAAGACATTGCACATACTTTATTATAAAAGACTGGCATTGATTAGGTTACCATAGAAGATAAATTTATTATTGTACTGTAGGCCATTGTTAGTTATTGAAACCGAACAACAGTGAAACCCGTCTGACCGATAAAGCAGGTTTCGAGATACTCTACAATTCGTGTGAAGCTGACTACTCACCTCCATCTTGTGCCGAGGTCAAAATTGTGGAAATATATCTCCACTCCGCCATATATCTTCATAGCATAGTACTTAATTGATTAAGCACAGGAACAACTTAATCTTTACATTTTACCTAACGTCAAGTATAGAATTTCTCAATAGCATTGACAATGTACCGAAAGTCTTTGCATCCTATTCTATGTCTGAATGCAGGACTTGACCTTAGCCTGCGACTGATTAACTAGCTGCCGTACTAATTTATTTTATCACAAATAATCAAATAAAATCAAAGTAATTAAAGCAAACCCTAAATCTGGCCTGCGACAAGTATAGTGTCCTTATACGAGCGTACAAAACGGAATGGGGAATGATAAAGAACGTGGGAAAACCTTCTCTGGCCTCTTCTAAGGCACTGTCCCATTGGTCTGGAAAGACTGAGGAAACCTGATTCACAATGAACCTTCGAGCCGAGAATCGAACTCGAGAACTCCTCAATACGAAGCAGTAGTGCACAGCGGCGTTGTGCGTACACTCGCACCAGTACAGTCTCGTGCTTGGGTCATCACGTGGGCTGCAGCCGAGCTTGCTTGTCTCAACTTGACGTCAAATGAGCCACCTTAATCTCACTTACATGTTTATTACTGCCGATTATTTACACGCGTCACAAGTGCTTGTGATTTTTACGTCAGTGGTTACCTAACTGTGGTTCGAATGTCCTTCATGCTATTATTTGCCGTGTTCTTTCTTGTGTTAAAACTTAAAACATGTTGAAGGTGCGAAACTTCGATGTAATGTCTAAAATATTTAGATTCTGAGAATGTTTACTAACCGCCATTACGAAAAGAAAATAAATATGAAGATGTATATTTATCAGTTTTCAATTCTGGCCGATTAACTGCTTCGAACAGTCTTCTTCAGCAGTTTGCGGTTATTCCCTCCTCTTACGGAATCCAGAGGTTTGTCACGGGTGTTTGAGAACAGGGTGTTGAGGAGAATATTTGGACCGAAGAGAGATGAAGTGACAGGAGGTTGGAGAAAACTGCATAATGAGGAGCTTCGTAACTTGTACTCTACTTCAAGTATATTAGAATGATCAAGTCAATAAGGATGAGGTGGGCATGGCATGTAGCCCGAATATTAAAATGGTTCTTAGAGAGATAGGATGGAATGGTATGGATTGGATTGATCTGACTCAGGATAGGGAACAGTGGAGGGCTCTTGTGAACACAGTAATGAACCTTCGGGTTCCATAAAATGCTGGGAAATTCTTGAGTAGCTGCACAATTGGCGGCTCCTTCAGAAGGGCTCAGTTCCACGAGTAGGTAAGAGGTTTATCACAAATGTCCACTATTCGTACCTATTCTGAGCCAGTTCAATCCAATCTACACTGTCACAAATGATTCATGTAATATGTAGGTGGTTACTTTCCATGGTGCTTTTCTGATAAAATTTGCGTGGATTTCTAATTTCCACCATGTATACTACACGCCCCGTCCGTCTCATCCTTACTTCGATCATCCTAAGAATACTTCATAGAGATGACAAATTAGGAAACTTTTCTACATGTAGCTTTTCATCTTCCTGCTACTTTCTCTCTCTTAGGTGCAATTTTCTCTTTAGCGCCATATTCTTAATACTCAATCTAACCTACGTTCTTATCTCAGGGCGAGAGACAAAATTCAAGCCCAATAAGAAATAACAAATAAAATTATAGTTTTGTGGGTCGGTAATTCTTGCTATAGCTGTAATACTTGGGAAAACTTAAGCATTACGTTTGGAATTATGAATTGTTTCCAGAGTAACTTCTTGGTGTTGCTGTGTTTATTATGGAAATTGTTACGATACCTTATTATTTTTATGAATTTTTATCATAAGATATACAGCAGCCGATCACAGTGGCCGCGCGATCTAGGGCATGAAATGTTTTCGCCCACTCAGACACTGGGATCGTGGAATCGAATCACACTCGAGACATGGATATCTNTATGCGAGATATTTCATTTGAAGGAGAAAGCTCTAGATCGCATCAAGTGGAGGAACTGTTTTGGAAGAGACTGTGGACCTGTCGTCTTGACAGATTACTGATGAATGAATGAATAGGTAGCTGCCTTGCGACGGACTGATCACCCATCCAGGGCGTACTACCGACTGTCTATAAGACTACAATTTCAGAATTAATTAATTTTCAATGGGCACATGCCAGAAAGCTTAATCCGTTAAGGTATAAAAAAATACATGTAGCAAACAAGTTAAATTAAATTAAATTAAATTAAAAGTGAAATGAGACGCGAAAATAGCGTAATCGGCCAGACAGCCATAAAATGCTTATTAAATGTTCTAGAATTAACCCACCTTCCGAGGTCAAGAATTCCGTCCAAGATGTGCGCCTTCCGGCCAATGTTTTCTTCGCCATAGACCACTTTCCTGTGGGGATCACCAGGATGTATTGACAGCACTAGGACTGTACCCAGGATCGCATTGATGAGTGACGTTAATACAAAGTAGACCAGCATCCTGGCGGCTATCTTCCCGTTCGCACTGGCGTTCAGCTTTGCACTGCCTGTGGAGAATCCGTTTAAATGCCTTAACAATTGCCGTGAAAAGGTCGGGACTGAAAGAATTTCTTTAATAAACTGGGATGACATCGCTGATATAAAGGAAGATAGTCATGTTTTTCTATTGTTAACAAGCAGAACACATAACACTATTACTTACTTACTTACTCATGAAGCTGAGCACTTCTTGAGGAGCCGCCAATTCTGCAGCTACTCAAGAATTCCCAGCATTTTATGGAACCCGAAGTTTCATCACCGTGTCCACACCCCTCCACTGGTTCCTATCCAGAGCCAGATCTATCCAATCCAGATCATCCCATCCTATCTCTCTAAGATCCATTCTAATATTGACCACCCACATACGCCTTGGTCTTCCCTGTGGTCTCTTTCCTACTGGCTTTCCCACCAATATCCTATACGCATTCCTCGTCTCCCCCATTCGTGCTACATGACCTGCTCACCTCATGATCCTTGACTTTATCATTCTAATTATACTTGGAGAAGAGTACAAGTTATGAAGCTCCTCATTATGCAGTTTTCTCCAACCTCCTGTCACACATAACAGTATACAGAGATAAAATATATCGTTCCCTGTATTTTGTTAAATATAGACCACATCGAAAATAATATCAAATACGAGTATTACAAACATTAATGAAATCTGTATATTAGGTTATATATCAAATTTGCCTTGAATTTCTCTTCTCCATTAAGTCTAAACCGGCCCAGGGTCCTACCCAGTCCTCTATTAAATGCGAACCTGGGTTCTGATCCCCAGAGGTAATAAGGTAGGGGTGTGAAGCTGATCACTCACGCCATCTAATGCCGAAGTTTAGAGTGGTGGAACCGTAACTCCACCCCCCCATATGTTTTCATGGCAGTGTACAGGGATAACTTTGCCTTTGCCGTTAATAATTAGACGGTTAAGTCTGATCTGATATTTACCGAAGTAGGTAGGTACTGGAAACAACCTCTGTGGTCTAGTGGCCAGAGTTCCTGGTTACAGATACAGAGGTCCCGGGTTCTATTCTCGGCGTTACCAGATTTTCTGAAAAGTAATGGTCCGGAACGGGGTCCACTCAGCCTCGTGAGGATAATTGAGGAGTTATTTCAAGGAAATAGCGGCTCCGGTCTAGAAAACCGAGATTAACGGCCGTCGGGATTCGTTGCGCTGACCACGTGACACCCTCTATCCGCTAAAGTTACTACTAACTTCGCCGACGAGCGGCGGTCGCTCGGTCGGTATAGTTCGCTTACGGACTACAGACCACGGAGTTTGTTTTGTTTCTTAGTTTTGTACTGGATATGAAGTGCCTGTCCTTCAGTATGTTCGTCTCCGAAGTTACGTACACTACGCATTTTGGTGGAATTGTCATTGCTGTCTGTGCTAAGAGCTGATACGGAATTTAATTATAATCAGTGTAAGTCGAAGTTTAGCACTACGTTGCATGAGCTCTTACTGAAATTTATAATTTGTCTGAAAAATTACCGCGAGTCAAAAGAACTGCTAAATCTTTACGTAGTTTTGTGTATTTAAATCTTTACATTTTCCGGTGGTATACAGAGAGACAAAATCATCTGAACGGAATGGTAAGAACCATTTCCTATATACCCATTGGCAACAGTTCACTTACCTGCTATAAGGCTTGCAATGATTAAGGGAAGAATCAGCAACTTCAGTAGCCTCATGAAAATTTCTCCGGGATAAGATATAACCATCACAGCATCCGGACTTAGTTTTAAAGGCCGTAACACAAATCCTGCGAAAGAAGATTAACGGAGTAACTTCACATGGGCAAAGTTTAGTACTTTATGTTAGTGAACAGGTAAATCCGATCACAGTGGCCGCGCGGTCAAAGGCATGAACCGTATTCAACCGCACACACAGTGGGGTCGTGGATTCAAATCCCACTCAAGGCATGGATATCTCTATCTTTGTGCGTTTCTTCGGTGTTTGTGTTATTCTATGTGTAGGTAGCGGCCTTGCGACTGGCTGATCTCCTGTCCAAGTAGTTCTACCGACTCTGTATACACGTACTTACTTACTTACGGAGTTGAGCCCTTCTTGAGGAGAAGCCAAATCTGCAGCTACTCAATAATTTCCCATAATTTTATGGAAACCGAAAGTTCATTACCGTGTTCACAAGAACCCTCCACTCTTCCCTATCCTGAGCCAGATCAATTCAATCCATACCATCCCATCCTATCTCTCTAAGATCCATTTTAATATTGCCCACCCACCTACTGCTTGGTCTTTCCATTGGTCCCTTTCCTTGTTGCTTTCTCACCAATATCCTATATGCATTCCTCCTCTTCCCTATTCATGCTAGATGCCCAGCCCATCTCATCCTCCTTGACTTGAACATTCTGTTATATTTGGAGAACGGTACAATTTATGAAGCTACTCATGTTAGGTGGGTCCCTTGTCACCACTGCACGGCGCGTCCTCAGGTTGCGAATGGAGGGGACGCCCTCCAGGTATGGAGGGAAGCTGCGAATATATTGAACAAGGTGTCGCGGACAGCAGACAAGGGGTTGTCCTCCAGATTGGAGGTTGGGTGTGGGGCTAACAACTCCTCACCATAAGAAATAAACTTGTTACGGAAATTCTCAAGAAGCCTCGGACCTGGACGGATTCCTTGGATAAATGACCGACTGTGTATAGGATTAAGAAACTGAAAAAGCAGCCGAGGTCCAACAAATGGACTATAGAGCTATAGATAGATAGACGGAACACGTAAAAACGTATCGCGCAGGTGACACAATGTATATGTGTATGTCCTGTTACTAGAATGTAGAACATCATAATATAAGGACAACTAATGAACCACTCGAAAAATTAGGGGAGTTCAGATATTTAGAATTGATAGTAACTTTAGAACCTAGATAGCTTATTCGGTGACTAAAGGCTAAGGCTTTCCGATAAATGTACCTCTAAAGAGCAGCACAGCTTATTTGCAGCAAGACGTTTTTCCTCAACTTCCCACTCTTCATAGCTTGTGTACTCATTGAAATCTTTATTTATATATATTTATAAATGAGTATATTATGTATGAGTGGTCCAGTCGAGTGGTTATCCGTGGAGACCGCAGATAGAGACAGAAATTGTTACATTTTCCTTTCAAAATCTCAACGTTCTCTATCATTTCTTTCCACGGAGCTTCTGGTACTAGCAGTTAGTCTGTAGGATATCTCAGTAGTTAAAACATTACGTAACACTCTTATTTGAATAAAAAGAACATAATCAGGATGCTTGTAGCCAGTAATTATGCAGTTGTTAACAATTTTCAGCATCGGTTTTCCACCCTCATCAGTGTAGGTTTCGACGCAACAGATCAACTACAGATCAGTTCTTTTGCATTCGTCAGATCATCATCATCAGTAATCTGTCAAGACGACAGGTCCACAGTCTCTTCCAAAACAATTCCTCCACTTAATGCGATCTAGAGCTTTCTCCTTCAAATGAAAATATCCTCTTCTGTTCCCAAGGTCATCCAACATCTTCTTACGTCTTCTTCCTCGTCTTCTGGTCACTTCTATCCGCCCCCCTATCTTTCCTTCGATAGCTTCTTTTAGAAGGCAGTTTCTGCGTAAAACATGACCAATCCAATTAGCCTTCCGTTTTCTTATTTCATGTAGGATATTCCTCTGCTCACTGACTCTAATTAACACTTCTTCATTTCTCACATAATCGGTCCAACTGATCTTCTCCATTCTTCTCCAACACCACATTTCGAAACTTTCCAGATGTTTCTGATCTACTGCCCTAAGTCAGATATTGGAGAAAAATTGGAGTATGATGAGGCAGTACATCAGCCATTGACGGACTTCAGGAAAGCCTATGATTCAGTTAGGAGGGCAGTATTGTACAATATTCTAATACAGTTTGGGATACCCATGAAACTAGTTAGGTTGATTAAAATGTGTTTAAACGAAACGTATAGTAAAGTCCGTGTAGGTAAACATTTGTCTGATAAATTTCCTATCCAGAATAGTCTAAAACGAGGAGATGCTTTATCGCCACTCCTTTTCAACTTTGCCTTAGAATATGCAATTAGGAAGGTCCAGGGAAACCAGGTGGGGGTTGGAGAAAACTGCATAATGAGGAGCTTAATACCTTGCATGATCAAGTCAAGGAGGATGAGATGGGCAAGTCATGTAGCACGAATGGGAGCGACGAGGAATGCGTATAGGATATTGGTGGGAAAGCCAGAAGGATAGACACCACAGGGAAGACCAAGACGTTTGTGGGAAGCCGTTATGTCTTTTGTCAGCATTTTACATTCCCGAAAATGATTCAGCAAACTTGAATTATATTTGATATTTGTTGCTCAACATTGATGCCAGTCCGTATCAGTCCAATGCAGTATATACTTTCCAAAAAGCTCAGATTAAATTTACTAATTTTCTCAAAAAATAGCTCGTAGTTCGGAAAGTTGGCCCTTCAGTAAAATGTAGGTCTACCAGTGATGAAGAGCTGCCTGTGCAACATTAAGGCTTGTGTTCCGGAATAACATACGTTGAGATTATAACGAAGCATACTTCATAGGCTCATGCAGAGTAGTATTATGTGCCATCAGCTGAAGAATTTCTTTGGAATTTTGTGACGTGAATATAAACTAAAAACTGTAGGAAGAATTTTATTTGCAGTCTTATTGGTGACATGGGAGAATATTTCTATACATAGATATCAGATTCCGCGAACCGTGATAGCGCAGTCGGTATAGCGACTGGCTACTGGCTGAACGACTAAGGGGTCGGAGTACGAGTCCCGGTAGGGTCAAGAATTTTCTCTTCTCCAAATCGTCCAGACCGGCTCTGGAGTCTATCCAACCTCCTACCCAATGGGTACAGGGAGCTCTTTCCTCGGGAATAAAGCGGCCGGGGCTTGAAGCTGACCACTCACCTCCAGCTAGTGTCGAGGTCAAGAAATTATGGATTATACATCCACTCCCCCATACGCTTTCATGGCGTAGTGCTTAATTATTTTTGTTGACCTCAGATTCCAAACCTTTGTTTACCGATTTTTCTTCAAAGTGACGTGTCATATAAAGTAATAGTCTAGTATACATATCACAAATTGTAGAACTCGTTAAAATCTGCTATGAATAGTAATTTCTGTTTCTTCTGATACTTAAATATTACTTCGCATAAATGACGATATATGTACTATAGGCCTACAGAACACTGTTTAAATAATGGAGTTAGACTTAATCTGACAGCGATTTCTATGCAAGATCTAGGTCCCTGAAGGCCATAAAGAAGTAAGATCTTGTAATTCACACATAATAATTGTTTTCCCCCATCTGACTTGAGAAAAATAGGAAGTAAAATATACGGCTCTAGACCTCCTAAAGGTAAATATCTCTCAATGTATTTGTCTATAGTTCTAGCATATTCTGAAAATATATTTGCTCTTATTCTCATGCTCGGCTGCGGTATCAAAGTAGAAATGTACTCATACAATGCACGGCCATATGTGTGACTTTTGAAAAGTTTGCTTGTAGGCTTCACTTATTTTCCGGCATACGTAGTGGCTGAAAAAAAGCATTGATTCTACATGTATACCAATAGTAACAACAGTAATTTATTTGGAGTGCGTACACTATTTATGTATCATGAAACAGATGCAATGAGTTAATTTTATGATAAAACCAATTGCTGAATTCAACAAGCAGTTCGAAAAGATTCTACAGTTTTTCTTTTAAATAATCCTTCCAGGCGCACTATAGCCCTGGGGTTGACTCATCCTCTAACAGAAATAGATACCAGGAGGTAAAGGGCGATCGGCGCGTAAGGCTAACAACCTCAGCATCATCTGTGAGCCGACTGTCTACATGATGTGGGACCCTCTACATCTCACAACCCCACCGGCCTCCACGGCCTGTTACAGGATAGCTTTACCTTTTTTACATGTATACTGTCTATTTTCCAAGAAACACACCTGAGTGACTGTGAGCCGGGATATAGTAGTCGGTATAGCGACTATCTACGGGCTGGACGACCAAGAGTTCGGAGTTCGAGTCCCGGTAAAGTCAAGAATTTTCACTTCTTCAAGTCGTCCAGACTGGCTCTGAGGTCCACTCAACCTCCTATCCAATGGGTACCGGGGGATTTTCCCCGGTGGTAAAGCGGCCGGGGCGTTAAGCTGACCACTTACCTCCAAATAGTGCCGAGATCAAAAAAATGTGGATCTGTATACCCACTCCCTCATACACCTTCATGGTGTAGTGTAGTGCACAGAGACAACTTTACTTCTACGTCTGAATGATTCTGGCTACTAGTGCCTTAATCCTATGACAGAACCAAACTTTCATCTTCGGATGTATTAGTACAACTCCGGATACAGATAATAAATCCACGGTTTCATAGCCATGACACACTTTTATTGCTATTGTTAGGTTCTGTGACTGTACCAACTGACAGATCATGTGAAACAACTGGGGGCAAACTCACCTAGGAAGAGACCAAAGAGAACTCCAGAAACTGTGGTCACGAGGAGCAGATTAGCAACCATCCACTTTCTAATGTGTGCAAATTTTCCTGAGGTGGCGACGTTTGTTTCGTTGCAATTCTTGTTAGAGATGTCTTCCTCTTCAAGATCAATCTTGGTGAAAATGTAAGTTGACTTTCCGTTGGTGTTGTTCTCCATGGTGACTTGCCTGTGTCTACAGGATTAAAACAAATATTCCCTTTTAAGGCCGCCGTTTTGTATTAATGAGTATAAACCAACAGGTGCGGGAGTGCGACTGGGTTTGGGAATTGATTTCGTATTTCTTAAAACCGTTTTGAACGTTTCTGCAAGTTCTTATTGACTGGTCCGGCTTTTGCAATTATTTACTTCGGAAGGAAATTTTTAATTTAGACGCCGGCCTCGGAAAACACTGATTATTAATGAAAATGCCAGCTCGAGGATATTCTACCCTTAACACCTCAGAATATCCGGCGTTCACACAGAATTTTTTAACGATGATTCACACGGTTATATTAATCATAACACTGCTCTAGAAATTGACAAATCTTGCAAATAACGCCAAGAGGCTTCAGCAGAGGTTATATGGGCTTGCCGTGTGAAATAAGGTAGGGAAATGGTGTCGATAGCCTCGGGAGAAGTCTGTTGTAAGACTGAGGAGCCCGAGAGGTGCTCGCGACTGTTCGCGACCTTCGCGACTGCGTTAAAGCGACGGTATTGATTGCATGCCGGACGTCCGCACCATCCCCTTCCCGTCTCACACTTCTCCACAAGAGGCGCCGCACAGCTCTCAGTTTATGTTGCCAGGAATTGCCTAACTGATCAGGGTCCACGTTGTTTCGGTACCGTGAAGATCTAAACCTGCTGTCTATGATTTATTATGGACCGTATATGCTTTCATGTCAACTACACTAGACAGTGTAGCGGAAATGTGGTTCAAGTCAGAGGTGAACAAGCGCAAACTCAACAATATTTTCAACATCTCTCACCCTGCACGCAGATCCCAAGGAGTCACCTTAGTAGAAAATTACTTATTTCTCTCTACTCTCTCCTCCGATATTAAGATAAACCCCAGCTGAGCTACACCGAACTCTTGTTCTTACCATTGAGCTGCAAATGAAATCATTGCTTTTGGGGCTATTCAACTCAGTGACAGTTTCAAATTTGTATGTCTCTCTTAAGAACTGCGCATTTACAACATTAAAACTGTTGGGGAGTTCTATCTTCTGGGATATAATCCCCTGTATTCCGATGAAGTGACGTTTCGGAAAACATATCGTCTCCTTCTTCAGGGTTGAAGAATATGCCAAGCAAAAATCAGTATAAGGTAGGCAGCAACAAATCAGTTGGTTTCTTGATTGGCTTACTCTTCAACCCTGAAGATTGAGACGACATGTTCCTTCGAAACATCAGTTGGCTTTTGACGGACTACACGACTTAACATTTCAAAAGATACAAATCTTCACAACCACTGATGTGAGAACAATTCCTACATTAACGACAATTCTTGAAAGGATGGCAGGACATGTTTGTATTTTTACTGTCACTTACGAGGGGTTTGCCTGACGAATAATAATGGGTTCTGGATTTGATGACTGGGTTTATTGAACACTCACACGTTGTAACTACAAATAACTATAACACTCTAAAGATTATTGTTACTATAGCACGTGAAATAGAGCATTCAACGTCTATAAATTAATTTTAAATTGTTCCTGTCTCAATGCAACAACTATCAAAACTCACCCACACTTCACCGTGCAACAGTGAGTTTATTGGTCTTGTAGTAATACACATACATCGCGCGACATGTTTCGGCTCCTAAAGCCATCAACAGGATGTACAATTTAACGAACATTTTAAACTATTGAATTGCGCTCTTTATATGGTCCCATATGACTTAAATACTTATGTGTCTGGCTTCATATTTAGTTAATATTCAATCATATATCTAAAATTATTTTAAGTCACACATAAAATATTGTGGCGTGCCGCCTGAAAACCGGGATGTCTGAGTCAGAGCTGGCGTCCATTGATAAAACAACGGCTTGTTAAACACACGGCCGGAACAACACGCTGGAACATACCATTGCTGAGCAAAGCTCGGTAAACACTGTATAAAAACCGGAATAGTGGAGCCAGACAAGGAATTACCCAAGTAGTTACTATAGGATTCTGACGACGGTGTATAACACATGATATATTGGGTTTTCGGACTTTATTCATCGTCCTGGTTTTTTAAGATAACTAATAAAAACACGACGTTTCGGAAACTGGATCTGTTTCCGTCCTCAGGTGAAGGAAAACACCTATTCTGTTGGGTCCGTTAGAAAGAGCTAGCCTCAATCACTCAGTAACATCGGTTTGTCCAGTGACTGAGGCTAGCTCTTTCTAACGGACCCAACAAAATAGGTGTTTTCCTTCACCTGAGGACGGAAAGAGATCCAGTTTCCGAAACGTCGTGTTTTTATTAGTTATCTTAAAAACCAGGACGATGGATAAAGTCCGAAAACCCAATATATCAAGGAATTACCTATTTTGCTAGGCAAATATTTATGCACGTTTCCGAAACAACGTTTGCTTAACAGACCGTTACCACAGAAATGAAAACCTGGACTGGTGCAGTTCCCGCAGTAACGAATACAGTAGCTACCGGTGCATAGAACACGTGAAGCGGAACCCTTGAACGAGGTGTCTTCTAGGCCGTTCGACTGTAGAATATAAGAGATTGAACAGAACAGAGCGGAGAACAGGAGGCAGTACCCCGTGTGGAGGCGTGGTTGAATACTTCTACCGTGGCACTGCGAGTCGTAAGAGGGAAAGGGAAGTCTCAAATCTGAGACAGTAAAATATGGTCACGAGTCCCAAGGGACTCGGACCCAAGAAAGACTGCGCTGGCAAGGACCAGCAGCATATACAAAAGACAGACCCGTCCTCTCGTCAGAGAGGGCGCCACACAAAATCAAGACCGTAATTGTAAAACAGTAATAAATATCTGGTCATGAGCCCCAGATGGGGCTGGGAACAAAGACTTACTGACTGACTGACCATCAGTCGCAATGTGACTTTGACATTGACTTTGACTTTGACTTGAGCGGAGAACAGACCAGAGGCGAAGGGAGCAGATCTCAGAACAGAAGAAACCAGCTCAGCTAAGAACTAGAAGACGACGACTAGTCAGGTGGCATCGTCTGGAAGCTGTTATTTCAGAGTGATTATAATCGTAATTGTAAGCGAGCTAGCCAATAATCAGCTTCGTCTAATCCGGCACCCGTTAATTTCTTGTCGCGTTACTTGGATACGTGAAAATATGGATTAAAATTGGAGTAAAAATCTCACATTAAACATGCTTAACGACATATATATAAAGGTAGAAGCTAAAGTTGTCCCTGTGCCTAATTACTTAAGCACTAGATCATGAAGGCGTATGGGGGAGTGGATGTATGGACCCATTTTTCCTTGACCTCAACATTAGTTGGAGGTGAGTGGTCAGCTTGACTCCCAGAGCGCTTTACCCCCGGGGAAAGAGATCCCGGTACCCATTCGATAGGAGGCTGGGTAGACCCCAGAGCCAGTTTGGACGACATGGAGAAATTAAAATTCTTGCCCCCACCAGGACTCGAATTCCGACCCCTTGGTCTTTCAGCCCGTAGCCAGTCGCTATACCGTCTGCTGCGTTTAACCAATTAATATAAATTTATTTCCTTTTATACCTCTGGTATTCCTCATGTACTGTTATCTTTGTTCGAGTTTATATTTATTGTCCAAAATATANAACTCTGCGGTAGCCACACTAGAACTGACTGTGAATAGCCTTCGCTGCTCCCTATGTAGCCTCGATCGGACAATACGGGAAAACGGCCACGTAATAGGCACCCTTGTTGCTAGCCACGCTGTGTTGCTATGTAACGCTAGCGGAGGTCACCGTTGTTACTATCGTAACGTCGCCGCTGTTGATTCGCGTTGCCTAGCGACCGCGATATCCCTCGGTGACGTCACCGCGGAGGGGAGTGGCGCGGCGGGAACTCGCCTATTACCGTAAGAACGCGAGCGTTACGCCACCGCCACGCACCGCGGGGGGGGAGGTAGGGGTCAACATGTCACAATATATTATTCCCGTCAGCAGCTGTTATCTTGAGTTTAGTGCTATGCATTTCCTTCGGTGTTGTGGAACTTCGATGTTCGATCGCGGTTGAACATGCCTTATCCCTTCTTCGTTCTCTTTTGCTTTGGCACGAGGCTGAAACTTAGTTTCAGCCTTGGGCAGTACATGACAGTATTCCAGGCAGAAGTATATGCCATTAAGGCATGTATTGCGGAGAATCTAGATAGGAACTACAGAAATAGGAACATCTACATTCTATCTGACAGCCAAGCTGCACTTAAAGCACTTGACAAACACCAGATCAATTCAAAATTGGTCTGGGATTGCCACCAAACTCTCATGGAACTGGCCAAACATAACAGGGTACAACTGATATGGGCGCCAGGGCATGAGGGTATTGCTGGAAACGAAACAGCGGATCAATTAGCCAAGATTTGAGCTGAACATCCGTTCATAGGACCTGAACCAGCCTGCGGCATCTCTGTAGGAGTTGCCAGAAAGGCAATCAGGTACTAGACAAATATGAAGCACCAGAAATATTGGGGATCCTTGACTGGACTCAGGCAAGCAAAGGGACTACTTACAGGACACTGTCACTTTAAAGGACACCTCTTCAAACTGGGACTAAGTAATAGTCCCACTTGTGAGAGGTGTCAAGAAGAAAACGAAACAGCCACACATATCCTGTGTGAGTGTGAGGCCTTAGCTTATTTAAGATTACGTCACTTGGGTCAATACTTTATGGAACCAAGTGACTATTTCGACGTCCCCACGTACAAAATCCTACGCTTCATTCGAAGCGCGGGATTGCTAAGGGAATAATCAGAAGTGGAGGCACGATAATCTCTGTGGTCGCGGTGCAAGGGCCGAGAAGGCCCTCCCCTCATACATTCATTCAACCATTCGTTCTCTTTTCCTTGCGGGGCAGCTGCACTGCTCAGAAATCAGTTATTGTTATATTCTAGTGTTTGTTGTACGTTTCCGGTTTTCCCTGTGATAATTAATATGATATTTAGATAATATTTGTTGTCTATTTTTATATTCATTGTTCTACCTTTATTTGATTCTGACGCTGGTTATATAGATTTTAATTGTATATGTTTGTACTGTTTATGGGTTACATGGTTTATTATTATCTACTTACTATGTTTATGGTTTATCCACCTTATGCGTTTCAGCATCTGGTTTCGTTGTGTATTAACTTCCGAATGTAATTCGTGGTGTGCGGTATGTTACTGATTTGTAGGTCGGGAGGGGAAGGGGGAAGGATGGGTGTAGAGAGATTATGGTAGTGGCATTTGTTTGGAGGGGGGTTAGTCTGGTTGCTGTTGTTCATTTCCTACCTTTTGGTAAGCGGTTATTATTACGTCAATATGTTTCTGCAGACTTAGCGTCTACTTGTTTAGTCGTTGCTTGGTAACAAATCTTATCTGGTTAACACTTTAACTATCGAATCTTCCAGTACTTCAGAGTTTACTTTACGGCTGGCGACTAACCGCCAATAGTAAACCTGGTAAGCAATTGGCATGTATCTGATGAGCCGTCCCTATCGGATCACAGATATATATGCTTTAAA